GAACCTTCTGATCCCTATCCCATATCCATTGACCCTTGCCAAGGGGATGAAACCGAGAACCCTAAATTTATTTTTGTAAGGGGTGCCGGGATGGCCGACACCTTCTTTGTATATGAATATATATTTAGAGAACTAGGTATAAAATTGCAATTTGATGACTTTCAAATAGGAATATTAAGGGTTTTAGATGTAGCTCCGACGCAACTCTGTCCGAATGGGTGGGCAGCTATCTAAGCCTTTAGAGTACTATGTAAATTTCATTATATAGAACCTAGTGTAGGCTTATTTCTTTACTTCTTCTGTACTCGTCCATCAGACTTGGCAAGATGGATATCTTTAATAAGGCAACCAGAATTGCCATTGTTTAAGCCCTACGTTTCGTCTTTCAAGGGTTTTAAGACCGATTACTTCAAAGTAACCGTCCACCCTGTAGGTAGGAATTTTTCTTTAATAGTGAAAATAATCCCCTTTTCCTTTTCCACTGGACCTGAGTACTTCGCCGGTACGACTGGATTCCTGAGGACTTGTTATCAGCTAGGGAGTTGTCGGCTTTGGATTATTTGAAGTCTCTACCCCGAGAATTTCCTGTCCGACACATACTTTTAGTGTTAAAATCTCCACATCCTCGCCTTGACATGGAGGGTATGTTTCGTTTCCATACTTAATTTTTAATTCAATTTGTATTGATTTGACTTGTTGTTTTTATTGCAGGTCTGATGGCTCAACAAGGTGTTGATGTGCCAACCTTTCGTCATACTTTGAAGAAAAGGATACCGGAAGGTACACCGATTGAGGAGCACCGACACCCTCAACTTAATCATCTTCCCAATGTGTCTGAGCCTCGCCCTCCTCCCCGAGACCTAGTCCTTGTGGAAAATCAACCCAAGAAGCGCAAGGACAAGGGCAAAAGCAAAGAACTCGAGAAGGAGAGAAAAAGAAAACATGCCCATTCGGGTGTGCCGAGTGGTATAGAGGGGGCGCGCAAGCAAACTCGAACCGCTATTATAGAAGGGGCCAGTAGTTCCTCCCACTCGGTAGTTCCTATTGCTATGCTTACCGAGTCCTTCTTGGCGTCTGTTACACATACTGGCCGGGTAGCTGCTCCTAATTTGCTGTCTGATTCGGGGAAAGAATTAGTCGACAGCCTAGACCTTGAATCTCTCTGGCGCTGCTTTGCGGAGCTACAAGTGCGATCGACAACTATGCTCCGAAGGCTGGTTGTGGATCCTATTCTTGAGATGAAGAATATGCAGAAAGCGTATTCGGCTTCTCAACAAGCTTTGGCCAAAAGCAGAGAGACTCAATCCACTCTTGGCGAGACTATTCAATCGCTAGAAGCTGAGGTGAGTCAATATAAAGAGCACTACTGCATCATGGAGGGTCGAGTTCAGGCGACTGAGGAGGCACTGAGGGTCAAGGAAAAGGAAATGGAGGCGCTAAGGGTGAAGTCTTCACAGATGGAGGAGGCCCTTAGGGCCAAATCAACCGAGATGGAAGAAGCCCTGGCACATGAAAGGCAGAGGGCTGAAACTGACATGAAGGCTTTTGCTGAGAAGTGTTCACAGCAAGTTGCTTTTGAACATGAGTCTGGTTTCAATCATGCTATTCGTCAATGCCATGGATTCTATCAAGTCCCGGCTGATTTTCATTTTGATATTACTAAAGACTTCTTCGGCGGGAGGTTCATACCATATAATGAAGTAGATGATGATGTGGAACCTGATGCCAAAGCCCTTAGCCAAGCTGCCCATAATGAAAACAATCCTGCTCCCGAGGGCCTCAGCCTTGATGCCGAAGGAGGGGAAACTTAGAACTTCCTTTTTTGATTTTCTTTCTATTCATGGGCCAGTATTGCCTCAATTTTGTAATTCCACTTAGTTTTGAAATATCATTTCTCTTTTTTCTTCAATTCTTGTACCATGTATTGGAAGCTTTAAATAGCTCAACTAAATATAACCGAATGCTTGATATATAATCCGACAATTATTCATAAAGATAACATTTGCAAGGGTACTCGAGAAGGAATTTTAAAGAGTCATCCTTGGCCGAGTAGAGATACTCGGGAAGGAAATTAAATTATGTTTTATCCTTTACCTAGTAGAGGTACTCAGGAATTCTGCCTTAGCCAAGTAATACTTAAGGAATTTTTAATTATTCATCCTTGGCTGAGTAGGGGTACTCAGGAGGGAAATTAAATGATTCATCCTTGACCGAGTAGGGGTACCTGGGAGGGAATTTAAATAATTCAACTTTAGCCAAGTAACACTTGGGAGGAAATTTTAATTATACATCCTTGGCCGAGCAGGAGTACTTGGGAGGGAATTTTAATTATTCATCCTTGGCCGAGTAGGGGTACTCGGGAGGGAATTTTAACGATTCATCCTTAGCCGAGTAGGGGTACCCGGGAGAGAATTTAAATAATGCAACCTTAGCCAAGTAACACTTGGGAGGAATTTTAATTATGCATCCTTGGCCGAATAGGAGTACTCGGAAGGGAATTTTAATTATTCATCCTTGGCCGAGTAGGGGTACTCGGGAGAGAATTTTAACGATTCATCCTTGGCCAAGTAGGGAATTTAAATAATTCAAATGATTGCTTGAAAGAAATCTTGACGTATTAAATCCATAACTGAGAAGGAGTATTTTATTGATAAGGTGTCTCGTTAAAAACCTTCCCAAAAAAATTCCTTTTCACTTTCTTTTAAAAGGATAAAACCTGAGCGAGGAAAAGAGTACACCGGTTACAAATTACAAGTCTTTAACTAAAGTAATGTTTCAAGTGTGTCACATTCCAAGTTCTTGGTATAAGTTTTCCTTCCAATGTTTCTAACTTGTATGCTCCATTGTCGAGTCTTGTCGCTACCCGAAAGGGTCCTTCCCAGTTAGCTGCCAACTTCCCTTCTCGCCGATCCCGTCGCGCATCTCCGGTTACTCACCATACCAAGTCATTCTCATAAAATTGTCTTGGGTTGATTTTGGAATTGAACTTCCTTGCCATCATTCTTCTGCTAGCCTCGGTCATAATGACTGCTTGGCCACGTACCTCATCTATCAAATCTAAGTTGACGGCTAGGGATTCGTTATTGGCCGATTCTTCGAAGTTCTCCCTTCTGAATGAAGGTTCTCCAATCTCTATCGGTACCATGACATTGGTACCATAGATAAGCTGAAAAGGAGTCTTCTTGGTGATGGTTTGCGGTGTGCACTAATAAGCCCATAGTACCTCGAGTAGCTTAGCTTCCAAGATGTAGTGAACGAATGGGCTCCGACTCAGAAGATCGTCTCGATCATTTTTGGCTTTGGATTAAAAAGTCTGCTTTGATTTCTCCTGCAACGTCGAGGATAAAAGAAAAGAAAAGGTAAATCCAAGAGAAATGTCAGTATATAACACTCATTTTGCATGATTGTTCTTAAAAATAGTATGATAAAACATGATACCCTATCTTAAATTGATTGGTTTAAACACGTAGGTTCCAACAAACTTTTACTATAAACGGCCATACATTTATTTTCTCTTCTTTGCCTCCAAACAACAGCTTACTTAGAGTTCAAGAAGCACGTAATAGATTATTGTTGCAAACAATGAAATCACCGTTCCGAAGACAACCCTGCAAATTTTGTAAAATATTTTTAGAATTTATATTGATGTGTTGTAATCACAGGGCATAAAATACCATTTTTTAAACAGGTATAGAATTTTAAAATGTATACTTACGAAGTGCTTAGTATATCTGCGTGGACATTGTATTCTTTGGCAAATACAAAGGTTGCAATAGCTTGGGGAAGAGCAGCCTACAAATGGTAATAAAAAAGGTAGCTACAGAGGCTTTGAATGTACACATACATATACGTGTTTGTGAAGTTAAATTATAACAATACAAGTTACTTTTGTTCTTACGTCATTATATTTTGTTATTAGATAATTTTATCTAACAATGAGTCATTAATTAAAAGAATTTATCATATAATATTAGCAAAATTTAGACCAGTTTAAAATTGTTTAATAGGTTATTTATGTATATTAAAATTAATGTAATATATACATTTAAAATATATAAAATATTTTTTTTATATTATTATAACTATTTTATTTTTCAAAATTTTAACCCAAATAAAATATAATTATAATTCAATGATTAAATTGATAAAAAAATTGAATTACAATGTAAAATATAGGGTAATTTGTATTTATGTAATTTGACGTTTTATCTAAAAATTAAACATATCCGGTATATCCAAAAATGTTTATAGGAAAGTTAAATAATGTGCTAATTATTTAGCAAAGTTAGGTCTAGATAGTTATCTGTCTTCTTCTTGTATCGACTTAGCCTCCTTCCTTTCTTTCTTTTCTTTGCCATGATTCTGTAGGCATTTAGACTCCAGGTTGGGTCTCTAACTTTTTGTTTTTCTAGACTTTTTGCCCCCTTGTTTAGAAAAAATAAATAAATAAATAAATAAATAAATAAATAAATAAATATATATATATATATATATATTTATTTATTTAATCTACCTTATACAATAGATCCTCAATCATATTATTGTTCGAGCTAGCAACATTGTGAAAGGGCTTAATATATATATATATTTGGTATAAAAAATAATGAAAATTAATAAGTAAGGATCAAATAAGTTAATTTCTATAAATATTTTAATATTTTATTTTATTTTATTTTTTATAAAAAATTGTTCGGTCAGAGTCTAATTTTCTAAAATTGGACAAACTTAGTTCTTATTAAATAATTTCTATTAACTGTTAAAGTATAACAACGGTTGTCATATGTATCTTAATAACTGCCATGTCATGGTCTTCATTTTTTTTTTCATGGTCAAGCTATATCATGGTCTAAATATAATTTTGGTTCCCGTAAACGAGGGTAGTAAAAAGCTAGGTAGTCAAGTGTGGGTCTATAATTTAGTGAGCTTTCCGATAAATATTTATAGAAGTAAAAATAATAATAAAATAAATTAAAATACAAAGTTTTCTTGGGAAAAACGAAATCAATTCACAATGGAAAAATATAATGTTTTTTTTACATTTAAATTCAGAATATTATATTATGCCCATAGGAAAAACTTGGAGATCAAGTTCAAGACAATATATAAATATGATCGTTGTCATAGCATGAATTCCATCATCAATCAATTCATCATATGAGAACAGAAAACGATGGCAGAGCAAAGCAAGGTGATCCTACACGGATTTTGGACTAGCCCTTTTGTGAAGAGGGTGGAATTGGCCCTTAATCTCAAGGGCATACCTTATGATTATGTGGAAGAAGACTTAGCAAACAAAAGTGATTTACTTCTCAAGTACAACCCGGTTCACAAGAAGGTACCTGTTCTTGTTCATAATGAAAAGCCTTTAGCTGAATCAATGGTGATCGTTGAGTATATTGATGAAACTTGGAACGATGGTCCTAAATTGCTTCCCAATGATCCATACAAAAGAGCCCAAGCTCGTTTCTGGTCTAAGTTCATGGAGGAACAGGTAATTAACTAGGCTTTCTTATTTTAATTGTTCAGGCATATGAATAATGAATGTCATGTCATGCTTGCATAATGTTAGTGCTAGCATTAGTTGCTTAAAGCTTATTTAACCACTAATATAAAAGTTGCTGATTTGGGTAGAATTTTTGTTGGTTCAGACAAATGTTACTTGTGTTAGTTTTGATTTGTCCAGAATTGTGTCCATACGAATTAGTTCTTGAAACTTGGTAAGAAATTCACCTTACGAAGGTTGTTAATTTGCTAACAAGTTAAAACCTTCAAGACCAATTTGTGTGGACAGAAACTTTTTAAAATAAAACAACAAATTGTTTGTATGCTTTCCACGACAGGGTTCGCACGTTGTAACCTGTATAGGGTAAGCTTTGATATATAGCAGACTTCTTGTTTGATGAAAGTAGTGAGCGAATGGTGACAGAGTAGTTAGTATATATTTTTGTTTCGCAAATTTTGTTTTGCAACCTTGATTTATATCAAATACAATTAACCATTAGGGAGCTCAAATTTTTTTCCCTGGTACTTTTACAAGTTACCTGCTACCAATAAAGGATTTGCCGATTTGAGCTAAGATTTTGTCATCATGTTTTAAGTGCATGTCTATTTGAGGTGTGAATGTGCTGCAAGACAACAGTGATAAAAAGATTAAACTGCAAGATAGCAGTGAATAATAGGAGTAACTTGACAAGAAGTTTATATTTTATGCCAGATGAAATTTCTTGCATTTGTTGTATTGTGGAGCCCGAAGATGGAATGGTTAACTAACATTAGCACTATACAGCAGGAACAAGGAAACTTGTAAATCTCAGAATTTGTTCTAATGCTTGTCTTTTCTCTCTTTTTCATTGCAGCTATTTGAGACCACTTTTCTAGTTTTCAAAACAGATGGAGAAGTGCAAAAAAAAGGGCTTGACGAACTGTACCAGAAACTGAATGTACTTGAAAATGGAATGAAGACCTTTTTGGAAGAAGGCAATACTGGTGTTGAAAACAATGCTGGAATCCTGGACTTAGTCTTCTGTTCCTTATTTGGCGCTTACAAGGTTCATGAAGAAGTTCTTGGCATAAAGCTCATAGTGCCAGATAAGTTTCCTTTGCTATTTTCTTGGTTGATGGCTATTGGTGAGCTTGAAGTAGTGAAAAAGGCAGCTCCTCCACATGAAAAATCAGTGGAAATCCTTCAGCGTTATAGGCAATCTGCACTAAAATCTTTTCCTGTAGCTTAATGCACTTTCCTAGTTAAATGGACCGTCGTTGGCTTCTTAACTTTCAATAATAGGATTGGTAGCATTTGTAATTAACATACGTATTTTGGTTTGGCTTGTGAGATGTAAAATATCAGTTTGTTAATTTCTCCTAATAATATTTTCATAACAATCTACAATTATTTTAATTTTTCATTTATTTTATTTAAAAATATATTAGCATTTCTAAATCGATATTGGATTTTAGTATGATACCCATATCCATGCAATATAACTCATCTCATTGGTTAATCAACGAGTATTTAGATATATATATAAAATGTAAAATCTACCTTACACAGTCGATCCTTAATTATATTGTTGTTCGAGCTAGCAACATTTGTGAAAGGGCTCAATGTATATATATTTTCATTCTTGGTATAAGAAAGAATGAAAATTAATACATAAGGATCAAATAAGTTAATTTCTATAAATATTTTAAATTTTGATTTTAATTTTTATAAAAAAATTGTTCGGTCAGAGTCTAATTTTCTAAAATTGGACAAACTTGGTTCTTATTAAATAATTTCTATTAACTGTTAAAGTATAACAACGGTTGTCATATGTATCTTAATAACTGCCGTGTCATGGTCTTCATTGTTTTCATGGTAGAGCTATGTCATGGTCTAAATATAATTTTGGTTCCTGTAAACGGGGGTAGAAAAAAGCTAGGTAGTCAAATGTGGGTCTATAATTTTAATGAGCTTTTCAATAAATATTTATAGAAGTAAAAATTAATAATAAAATAAATTAAAAAATTCTTATAAATTAAATAATTTTTTTATTTTTTTAAATTATCTTATTTAATTTTGTTAAAATTTAAAGACTATAACTTAATTTAACTTATCAAATTTTTTTTATCCATTTTATATTAATTTTTTCTTAAGCTTACTAAAATCGAGTCAAGTCTTATCATGTTAAATAAAATGCTTAATTTAGATTTTTTTTAAAAGTCCTTTTCTATGAATAACAAATCCCCTTAATAAAAAGAAATTATTTTCTCATTTTTTATTTTTACTTTTTTGCAGCTCTTATTTATTATTTTATAATTTTAAATTATAAAAATATCCTTCAATTTATATAAAAAAAACTCTTTTTACACCACTCCTCTGTACCACCTAAAATCATCTTGTCACCCCTTCCTCACTCGCGCAATTCTTGCCAAAATTATATTCCTCGTTGCCCAAGAGAACGGGTGAGTTATATATTCATCGACTGTGAAAGAGAAATTGAGTTAACTTTAAATTTATGAACAATTCCATTAATGACTCCCCCTGGACCAATTTGTGAGAAAGGTAATAATATTACTCATTTGTCATAACCAAACATCCATGCTGAAAATTTGATAAAGAAGTTCAAAAATTGAAGCTTTCAATGTGGCCATGGTCGGAGGAAGAACAATGAACTAGCGACAGACAACAAACCAGGCAATAAGGTGCCGAGAGGGAGACAAAGGGAAAACAAGGGAAGAAGAACACACAAAGAGATGGTGAGAAAGTTACATTCTGAAAATGGAACTTTTCATTTTAACTATAAGCAAGAGTATTTTTGGGAAAAAAAAAAGGAGGTGGGGTTTAAAAACAAAAGAAAAAAAAAATTTCCTTAATTAAATAAGTTATGTTTTACACCTTTATCATTTACTAGTGATCTTTTAGAGAATTCTTCGTAAGAGAAACAATTAGTATAAAAAATGAATAATAAGAAAAAGAAAAAGATTGTTATATGTATGACGTAAAAATTTAAGTTACATAATTAAACATATATTAAATTTATTTAATAATTTTATCTTTTTAAGAAATATACCAAAGTCGCATTGGTGTGAGTAACTCTTAAAGTGAGAAAAGTAGTAGTTAACAATATAATAATAACATATACTTATAGATTGCAGAAGGTATTAGCAAGTAGGGATAGAAATGGGTTAAGTTATAACTCTCCGAATTTCGGTAATATTAATTATTATTATTTATATAAATCTAAATGCATATATATATATGTGTGTATTTTTGGATATATATTGTGGATATGTGTATATATATATGTGTATGCATGATTGGTTGGACTGAAAATGGGCTAAGTGCAGGGTGTAATTCTGGGCTGTCCTTGCTGCAGCAAGAATCCGCAAGAGGGCCCTAGGAGGAAGGACTGAAATTGTCACCTTATCGCTGTAGCGAGAAAGCGACAGTTTGGGGTGCATTTCTGGGTGTAGTCTCGCTGTAGCGAGATTCTGTAGAAACCAGGGTGCAGTTTCGTCTGATATTTTCGCTGCAGCAACAAGTCTGCTATAGCAAGAGTATTGCGAGTAGAAAGGGATTTAAAGGGGGTTAGGGTTCGGGAAGGATTATTTCTCCCTCTTCCTTCAAAATTCCTTGGATTCTCTCATTCCCAAACCCTTTTCCACGGATTAAATTGCCTCCAAAGTCGTTCGAGAGATTGATTGAAGGTTAAATCCGTGTGGGGAATGCTTGGAGGTGAGTTTTAATGGTTAGGGTTTTGATTTTTCATTCATTTTCTCTGTTTTCGTGGTTTCTCATGGAGTTTCTCCATGTGTTTAGGACGAAATCCATGAGGGGGAACACTTCTTGGTGGATTTAGCGTGTGGATCTTCAATCCAAGGTAAGGGAGGATTCTATCCTACTCTTTTATGCATGAATTGTTGATATTTTGCTGAATATTGTGTTGTGGCTGAGTTAGTGGGTAGGAAATTGCTGAAAAATATAATGTGGGCCATGTGTCGTGATATGTGAACATTATAAGTGTGATATAAAATTGATGGATTTGGATTATATGTAAATGTTGTGTGATAGAATGAGTATGGGCACTTGTACTGTATATTTGAATGAATATTGTGAAAATGTGGGCCAAGAGCCGTGTAATATGAACAATAATTGTAGGCTGCATGTCGTGTGCTGTTAATTGAATATAGGTTGTGTGCCATGTGAAAGCATGACTATTGCATGCGTGAATGAAATATGTGTGAATGGACGTGTTAGCGCTGTTGTAATATGCTGTGAATGGTTCAGCGATACATTGGGGATGTGGGAGATGAGGACAATAGAAATATCTTAGGGAAGAAGGAGTGGTGGTGACACCGACTGCGGAACGGGTGCACCACGGGCCACACACTCTCTTCCTGACTAGACCTCTTACCACTATCTTTGCTGAGCGACCTGTGACTGCCCACGTGGTATCCGTGAGGTAGGGGTAACCGACGACCATTCATGGTGTAAATTTGTGATCACAATGCCATAGTGAGTGTGGCTGGCGTGCATATGCATAGGTTTATGAATTGTACTTATAGATGTGAAATGCTGCTTGTGATCATGTTTGTTTAATGTGTTAGAAATGTTCTGGAGGTGAGACTCTACGTTGATTGTGTGTTTTTGGGTAGTGTAGAGTACTCACCCTTACATTCATTTTTCAGGTAATCAAGATAATCAGCACCGGACTCAGTGAAGAGACAGATGAACTGCTATAGGACTTAGATTTTATTTTTGAAATTGTTGTAATTGAAGTAGTCCTGTAACAATTATTTGATATTAATTTGTAACCCTTCACTTATTTCGAAATCTTTTATGAAAAATTTAGTTATCTGATTTGCGAAATTATTATTTAATTGAAATTAAATTTAAGGTGTTACATAAATTGTCTAAGAAAACCTTCTATTTAAATATTATGACTTAATTTTTTAAAATCTAACTTGACTTGACCTATTTAAATATTAGGCTTAACATAAAATTTTTAAAAGAATTGATTAATTGAATAAGTTAGATTTGAGCTTAAAATAAACTTAATATAGAATGACCTATTAAGACTTGTAAAAGTTATAATAATATATTAAATATTTTATAAAAAATTATATTATATAAAATAAATTAAATTTTAGAATGAATAAAATATTAAATTAAAAATTTTAATCCTTTTTGCTGGAGTTAGAGAGTGTTCCTAGTACGTACCCTCTAGGGGAGAAAGTGTCGCTTGCTAGAATCTTGTGCTACTATTGTTTGATTTGTCTTATATGCATAATAATGATCTACATTTGTGTTTGTTTTATATTTAATGATTTACTTATTTAAACCAAATATTTAGTTTGAAAGTAATAAATAGGAATATATTATTTTATTTATTGCAAATATTTAATTTTTTTAATGGCTTATAAAGACATACTTATTTAAATGGTTTGATAGTCTATTTATAAAGAGACTTAATGACCTATTAAAGGTCATAATCCAAAATAGGTCATTAAAAGGACTAATGGAATAAATTAGAATTTTAAAAAGTCAAACTATACTTAATAAAAAAGCATATAACAGATAGTAAGTCAGACTTTAGTTTCAAAATTATTAAATAGGTTATGCCTTCTTATGCAAAATCTAACTTAATCTAACTTATTAGCAAGGATGCATATACGAATTGGAGTCTTAAGCTACTAAAGTCACAAAATCATCATTTACATTATCCTTTACTCTTATAAAAGGTGTATCAACAGAAGAGGTAATTCAATGGAAGTATGTTATTTAGGCTCTTGTTATTGAATTTCAAGAAGAAAAACATTGAGCAAGAAATAATACAGAAGAAAATTGAAGAATGGGAGCAAAGGTTTAAGAAACTTATGTTACATGATATCATAATTATTTGCACTCATATAAAAGGATAAAAATGAGAATTGTAACACCCTTATTTTTTGTAATTATTAATTTTTGTAATGTATAATAAATTTTAGTACATATTGTTTAGAATTAGGAGAATTTTAGGTGTGTAAGTTGTAGGGTTTCTCGCTGTAGCAAGATGTGTCTCGCTGTAGTTAGGGAAGTTATACATAATCAAACTCTCTAAAGCCTTCTCGCTGTAGGAAATCTCACTGTAGTGAAAAATGTCATATCGGTGTATTTATGTGTATCTATTATTCCATTTAAATTGTTTTGTGTATGCTTAAAGTGTATGAATCATTCATATATTGGAATGTGAATGTAAAGGTTGTGTAATTGCCGGATAAGGAGCAATATATTCTCAAGTGTTGTGTCATGATTTTGTTAAGTGTGATGTGCAGAATGAGTTAGACATTGGTTGTT